TATATATATGTGTGTGTGTGTGTGTGTGTGTGTGTATATATATATATATATTTGCCTGGTACCTAATATAGACACTCAATAAATATTTATTAATAGGTGAATATTTCAAAGATAGGGGCCAGCAGGTGGCATGGTGGATGGGGCACTGGATTCCCATGTGGCTGACCATGGTTGAAGTCCCAGACCTGGCAGCTTGAAAGTCACAATAAATAAATAGGTAAATAAACAAACAAATGTTTTAAAAAATTCAAACATGAAATATAAAGTCTCTGCTCACAAGAGATTTCTAAGCTGGGAGATTAATTGCTAATAAATGTAAATGAAGCTAGCTAGTGTTCTAGGTTTGCTCTCATGAGGTAATTACTCTATTAACCCATTGCCAAGGATTCTCCCTAATTCCACCACAGCTTGGTCCCTAGGCGTAGTCACAGAATAATTCCTGATGCTGGGTGTTTTTGGATGCACACAAAAGAAATCAACTCAAGCAAGCTTAAGTTAAAGAGAAAATTGCATAAACATTTGGAACTGCTATCTTATGGCACCCATAGATAGAGACATAGCTAAATCTCAAGAGGGACTAGAACCAAAAAGTAGAAAGCCTCCAGGAACCCATCAGGTTCCCCTCTTGGTTCCCCACTGACTTTAGTTCTGTGCCTTTCTGCATAGCTGGAAAACATTTCTCTTTAGATTGCAGAGCAGAAGGTGGCCACATCCACCCTGATTAATATTCCAGGAGCAGTAGAGGTAGTCCAGTGTCTTAATCTGTTTTGCCGTGCTGTAACAGAAACCACAGGCTGGGTAATTTATAAAGAACTGAAGTACATTAGCCTGCAGTTCCAGAGGCCGAGAAATTTAAGACCAACATACTGGCTTTTTGCTGTTTTATTCCACAAAAAGAAGGCATCACATGACAGAAGTGCATAGAGAGAATAAGAGAGGGAGTAAGAGGGGGCAAAGCCACTTACAGAATAACGGTGTTAATTCATTTGCGAAGGTGGAGCCCTCATAACCTAAATATCTCCTAAAATGACCACCTTCTTAATCACCTCACCCCTGTTAGAATGGCTATTACCAAAACACAAAGAACAAGTGCTGGCAAGGAAGCAGATTAAGGGGAACTCTTGCGCACTATTGGTGGGAGTGTAAACTAGTACAACCTGTGGGAGACAGTATGGAGGTGCCTTAAAAAACTACGACTAGAACCTCGTGATCCAGTAACCTTACTACTGGCTCTATACTGAAAGGAAAGGAAAGCAATATGTCAAACAGATAACTGCACTCCTATGTTTATTACAGCATTAGTCACAGTAGCTGAGATATGAAATCAATCATTAACAGATTAATGGATTTTCAAAAGTTTTCTATATATACAAAGGAATGTTGTTCAATCCATGAGAAAGGATAAAATCTTGTCATTTAAGGTAACATGGATGAGCCTGGTGGAAATCACACTAAATGAAATAAGCCAGGCATTCAGCGACAAATACTGCCTGTTCTCATGTATTTGTGCAAGCTGAAATATTTGCTAACATAGAAATAGTGAAATGGAGCACCAGCCTCTGGGAAGGGGAGGGAGGACAGGAGGTTTTCTCGTCTGTGGTGTTGCTAAAAACTGAATGCTTGAAAGTGGGTGATTTATAAGACGAGTAGTTTATTAGTTCACAGTTCTGGAAGTGCACAGTTGAGGGGCCTCACCTGGCAAGGGCCTTTTTGTTGACAGGGATTCTCTGCAGAGTCCCAAGGCAGTGCGGGAATACATGCAAGAGCTTGAGCAGAGCAAGACCGTAGGAGCTGTGCCTCTGCCTTTGCCCCTTTCTCTCTCTTCTCAGCCCACCCGTATACGGTGGAGGCCTCACCCTGATAGCCTTATTCAATCCAGATTACCTTGCAAAGGCTCCCCCTCTTAGTCTCATAGATGAATTCCTATCCTCTAATACCATTACAATGGCTCACCAAATTTTGACACGTGTATTTGGGGCGCACATTCAAACCATAGTGGGAGGATAGGAAGAATTTAATGAATAAATACAAAATTACAGTTAAAAAAAGAGGAATGAGTTCTAAAGCACAGTAGAGTAACTATCATTAAACACAATGTATATTTCAAAATAAAAGGAAGAGAATCAATCTCAAATGTGTACAACTCAAGGTAATAATAAATGTTAGGTATGATGAATAAGTTAATTGCCCTGATTTAATCATTACATATTATATCCATGTGTTGAAAATTACACCGTACCCCATAAATATGTACAAATATTACATGTCAATGAAAATCTATAAAAGTTCCCATCTCTTAATGCTGTTACAATGGCAACTAAATTTTAACATGAGCGCTGGAAAGGACAAGCATTCAAACCATAGCTTCCAACTTAGATAGAATACCTACCCTGGTCCATTCAATGGACTTTAGGAGAAAGGGATCAAATTTGGACTACAGGGTCTTCTGAAGGTCAGGGCCCGCGAGTGGCTCCCCACAAAGGGAAAAACAGCAGAACATCCAGCAGCTGTCTACCACAGGGCAGCCAAACTGACCCTTAACCTCGCTGTACTCTTAACTCTGAACAAAAACCAAACTGCAGATAAAGCCTTACTCCGGACCAAGGAATTTCACTTAGCTCCATCTTGTAAAGTAAACAGCAAACAGAGGCAAGAGAGCTCTACATTTTCACTGACTCACTTACTTAAAAAAAAAAAAAAAAAAAAACAAGTGTTTTTTTCATAGTGAATTTTGTTCAAAATCATGTTTATTTACTATAAAATACCTGAATAAAGAACAAAAAGATCAAAGAACAAAATCTATTTACTTCCAAACAATTTTTGAAACCTGGATACAAGGGAGTCTTCAAAGTTTATGGAAAATGCATATTATGAGAAAAACTATGCATGGATTTCCAAAAGTTTTATACAAAATAGATTAATATTTTAATTCCATTTAAAGTCCCCTCATATTTTCAAAAATGTTTAAGTAAAACACTGCATGATTAAGACGTCTGAGTTTGGAGGTACTTTTGCATTGATCCCAGGAGTTGAGGGATCGAGTGCTGACCACTTGTCTCTGGCACAATGTCCGAAGTATTCTCATCCACCACTCCAGACACAGAAAAATCGGAGGCCAGGGTTACAATCAAGACCTTGCTTGGCCTCAGTCTCCCTTCACCCAGGAATGTTTAGTACCCTTCATGTTTTCTCTTCACCAGTGGTGCTATAATTTGACTATGTCCCTTCTTCACCCCACAAACCACATGTTCTAATTTGATATCCAACATGCAATGTTGGGAGGTGGGGCCCAGTGGAAGGTGCTTGGGAGATGAGAGCAGATCCCTCATGAATAATTAATACTGCCTCTGGAAAGGGAGCGAGTTCTCTAATTAGTTCCCAAGAGATAGATTCCTACAGGTTTCCTACAAACCTCTCTCCATATGCCCACATTCCTTTCTGCTTCTCTCAACCATGTTAAAATGTAGCAAGGAGTGGATTTTGAAAACAAAGGTGGCAATCGGGGCTAGCAGGTAGCATGATGGTTAAGGGTGCTGGAGTCCCACGAGGCCAGTCACAGTTCAAGTCCTGGACCTGGCAGCTTGCTTTCTCACTCCCCTCTTTCTCTCTCACTCTATCCCTCTCTGGTCAAATTAAAATGAACAAATAAAATAAATAAAGTCAAAATGAAATAATTCTTTTAAAAAAGAAAGAAAATAGAGATGGCAAACAGAAAACTAAAATGTCATCTTCAAGAAAATCATAAGGGCCTGCAGGTGGTGGGGTGATTAAGGCACTGGTCAACCACGATTTGAGTCCGGATATGGCAGCTTGAAAATCATGTTAGGTGCATGTGTGTGCATGCTCAAAATCCTGAAAGAAGAATGGAGGAGAAGTGATTGGAGCATGGCCATTCTCCTTAGGGGATGATTCCTCACTTTTCCTCTTTTTCTGTCTCTCCTATAAATGCTTATGCCCTATGGCAAAAAAAAAAAAAAAAAAAAAGAGAGAAAAAGAATCCAATTTTAGGGACCAGCAGTTAGAGTAATGGCTATGTCGCTGGACTCCCATGTAGTTGAATGCGGTTCGCGTCCTGGACCCAGTGGCTTAAAACTCACGCCTGGTGCGTGCGTGTGCATGCGTACCCAAGATCCTGAGAGGAGAACGGAGGAGAAGGGATTGCGGCGTGACTATCCCCCCAGGGGGTGATTTTTCGCTTTCTGTCTCTCTGTCTCTCTCTCTGTCTGTCTGGCGAGTGCATACGCCCTATAGCAAAAACCTCTCAAAAAAAAAAAAAAAAAAGAAACCAATTTTATTAAACATAAATTGTCTAAACACCAATTTAAAGAAATGTTCAGATTGGGTAAATAAAAAATAAGACCCAGCTAGGGTTTATAACACATTTTAAATATAAAAATATATATATACATTTAAAGTAACATGACGAAAAAAGAGAAAGAAATAGACACAGTTGTAGTTGAAGACATCGGAGATCATTAATCCTGAAGTCTTGACCACAGTTTCTCTCAGGAGGTATTCTGTACATTGGCCCCCTGTCTCTCTGGTTTCATAGAGAAATGGCTCCACCCCAGAGAGCTTACAGTGAGTGTGACCTAAGTATAGTGCTGTGAGGAACTCACTCCAGACGGATGTGGGACTGGAGCATGGACAGACAGTAGGTGCTCATTGAAATTTTAGAGAAAACCAACAGTAATTTCCCAGCAATAACTGAGAAACCCGAGAAAGTTCAAACCCAGCATTACGAGTTGGTTGTAGGAACCAGCAGTTGGTATAATGGCTATATTGCTGGACACCCATGTAGTACATCGTGGTTCGAGTCCTGGACCCGGTGACTTAAACTTACGCCAGACACATGTGCATGCATATCCAAGATCCCAAGAGGAGAATGGAGGAGAAGGGATTGCGGCATGGCCATCCCCGGGGGGGATTTCTCGCTTTTTGTCTCTCTCTGTCTTCTCTGTCTTTCGGTGAAGCGCACACAACCAAAAAAAAAAAAAAAAAAAAGAGTTGGTTGTAGACAGGTAGTGTTTTGCAGTCATCATCCATTTTCTCACTGCCAGTAGGTGTTCAAATTTTCCTTTAGGAGAAATACATCTAATCTAAACATGCCTAGCTTGAGACAAAATTAACTTAAGTCAGTAAATATGTTTCATCCTCACAACTCCAGTGATTGGTCAAAGATGGATACTCAATCTAGCCAGAGCCAATGAGATGCAAGAACATACATGCTGAGGCTTCTGGGAAAAGGAGCTTGCTCTCTCCTCTTGGGGAAGCACCAAGAAAGACAGTGTCCGTTGATTGGAGGATGTAATGTGAGGGTGTGAGAGTTGAGCAAGCAACTGTCTTTTTGATAAAGAGCTTCAACCTATATTATTTGCATGGAAGGACAGAAAAGGACTTGATTTATCTGGATCAAGATTTGTCTTAAAGTAGAACAGTTCTGGTATTTTCTATTACACAAAGAAATAAAATTTTCCTTTTTTGCACTTACACTTAATTTGGGTTGGGTTTTCTGTCATTCACAACACAGAGTTCTATCAAGGTTTAAGCTCACCTCTTCGTCCCTCTCTAAACCCCATATATTTCTCCCAAAATAAAAATAAAAGTCAAGTGAAGCAAGTGTTTTTGCTTTTAATGATTAACAGTATCTTTACTAGCAGAAAATAATGACATGCCAGTATTTTTTTTTTTTTGGAGAGATTTTCACTGTAGGGCGCGTGCGCTCGCCAGACAGAGAGAGACATAGAGACAGAAAGCGAGAAATCCCCCCCCAGGGGGGATGGCCACGCCACAATCCCTTCTCCTCCATTCTCCTCTCGGGATCTTGGGCACGCACGCACACGCGCCTGGCGTGAGTTTTAAGCCACTGGGTCCGGGACACGAACCGCGGTCGACTACGTGGGAGTCCAGCGACATAGCCATTATGCTAACTGATGGTTCCCATGACAGTATTTTAAAAGATAAAGCTATGCATGTATAAATAACAATCACATAATGAATAGGACTACACATATAAAAGGAAATGATTCTGAATTTAAAACCATAAGCAAAAAATAAAACAAAACAGAAAACGGTTTTATGGGGCCAGCAGATGGCATGGTGGGTAAGGCTCTGGACTCCCACATGGCCAACCATGGTTCAGGTCTCAGACCTGGCAGCTTGAAAATCATGCTGGGCACATATGTGTGTGTGCCCAAAATCCTGAGAGGAGAATGAAAGAGAAGGGACTGCCACGAGGCCATCCTCCTGGTGGTGGGGGGGTGTGATTTCTCATTTTCCTTCTCTCTGTTTCTTTCTCTGTCTCTCTATGGCAAATGCACATGCCCTATGGCAAAAACCCTTTAAAAAATGATTTTCTATATTTATACAGAATGCTGTTGACTTGGTTTGGCTAAAATCTTTGAAGAACATCGCTCAGACTACTGTATCCTGAGTGAATGTGTATCGTCATCAACCACTTCTGACTTTTAAAGAACAAGAGGAAACTCAGGAGGCCCAAGTCTTCCTTGACCTTGTTGGTAGTCAAGGAAAGAACAGCTTTTAAATTCCTCAGTGGGATTTACATTTAAGGCTCAAGCTACCTCCCTGAGGGAAAATTCTGTTATGTGTTACAGAAAGTACAATTATACTGAACCTCAGTGAAAAGAATAAAGCTGTCCAACTGAACAGGATCGAGTGTTTGAAACCAGGGAGTTCCTAAAACGATTACTGTGGATAAGGATTCACGGTATCTATATCAACATAGGCCTAGCTTTGCTGGTGCCTTTCGTAAATGAAACAAGGAAAAGTACCAATTAACGTAAGGGAGGCGAGGCTTTAGAGTTCAAAGAATATTTTACCTTAAAAAATTTTTTTAAAAATTTACAAGTCACGGGGAGTCACAGTGATAGAGACACAGAAATACATAGAGAATCACAGAGCTATCTCTACCAACTACAAATGCGCCTAGAAGGAAAAGAGATAAAGAGACACAGAGCTATCTCTAGCCACTAGAAATGAGCCTAAAGGGAAAATACTAGGCAAAAAAAAAATTTTTTTTGGTCAAGGAAACCAATATTGCTTTTCTTTCTTTCTTTTTTTTTTTTTTTTTTTGGAGAGGTTTTTGCTATAGGGTGCGTGCGTTCGCCAGTTCGCCAGAAAGACAGAGACAGACAGAGAAACAGAAAAATAAAAAGCGAGATATTACCTGTCAGAAAGATGTCCAAGCCTCAATTCCTTCTCCTACATTCTCCTCACAGGATCTTGGTCATGGATGCCCACACGCCAGGCGTGAGTTTAAGCCACCACAGTGGGACTGGAACCACAGTCAACCACATGGGAGTACAGTGACATAGCCATTTCACCAACTGCTGGTCCCGAAAAACAGTATTTCACAGCTGAAGTATAGTACCCATATCAGCATGGGCCAGACTTCACTGGTGCCTTTTGTAAATGAAGTGAGGAAATGTGACAATTAACATAATGGAGAAGAGGCTTGAGAGTTCAAAGAATACTTTATCTTAGAAAAAATTCCTTTTAATGTATTGTCACTGTGATACAGCGATGCAGAGA